ATCATGACAATCTCTAGCTGATGTAGAAGGAGTTAAAAAAGACAACATGATCAAGCTTTTAAAATCATATGGTGGATTGTCTTATGTAAGTTTGTTGCCATCTATAATCTCCTCTTCCGCTCTCCTTTATATTTTTTTTAAAAAAAGTTTTTTTTTTTTTTTTTTTTTTTTTTTTTTTTTTTTTTTGCTAAAAACAAAGAAAAAATTATGTAGGCTTTGCATCATTTGACCAAAATGTGTGCAAATGCTCATCTTTTCCACTTCTCCCTACAAACTGATTCTCTCCCTCATTGCTGCCAAACCCCTTCCTCACCAGCCCATGGCTATTGAACCCCTTGCATGCGGAATCCAACAAATCATCAAGTGTTGATCTTTATGAAATGGGGGTATTTTCTTGTTTCTTTCTTTTGAATATTTCTTTTTCATTAGAAATTGATATGTACTTGGATTGGACAAATTAAAACCCCATCTTCTTTCCCCCGAACCCCCTTCCTCACCAAAGCCCATGGCCTTAGACCCCTTACATGCCAAATCTAACAATTTTTTGTTTGGGCAAGTGACTAGAAGTTCATATCTTGTCCAAGGTGATTGAATACTACAGGAAGCATGTCAAGGCTTCCAAGTCTAATGATCGTACTACTTCAGTGGACTAAAGGCCTGAGGTTCACTTTGTCAAGGTCGATCAAGCCACCCTCTTCAATCTCATCCTAGATAGTTTTGCTCCTTCCCCCCTCTCCCCTTAATCTATTTTGATTTATTACAGTTTATTGATTTCTAATGTTTTATCCTTAATTTGTGTGGATGGATTACTGCTCTATCTTAATTTGTTGAAAATTTATAGTTTATTTTACTAATTCCCAATTTGTTTTACTCCTAAATGTGTTTTAGGATTGGATACATTTTAATATTTAATAGATAGAATTATTTGTGTATTCAATATTTGCAATTTTTAAGCCACAAACTACTTGAATATCAAGAGCTTATTGGACCTAACTTGTCAGATGGTTGCAGATATGATCAAAGGCAAAATACCAATGAAGATCTTTATTAAATGGTTTTAGTATTTTTTTTTTTTAGTTTTTTTTAGATTTAACTTGAAAATGGTAAATATGTGGTGCATGGAAAAATTATTTCTAACCATCAAGTGATGGTTTTTTTGCTACTTTTTCATTAAATTCAAAATATTGATATTTATTATTGAATATTTTCTATATAACTTATTTATAGTTCCAATATTTAGTTTGATACATTCCACTATTTATTTTTTGTCACAGACTAATAAAATTATTGGTTTGCCTATTCTATTATCAAAGACCTCATTTTTGTCTTATATTTTCAATGCGTTGAAATTTACAATCATTTATTAATTTTGAATTTTACCAACTTTATTTCCCAATTCTTCTTCATAATTTATCCAATAAATATTGGTTATTTGAAGGGTCTCTTTCACACGCATATATAGTGTTATACCAATCTCTTTTTTTTAGTATCACAGAAAGCATACAAATCCTAATGGTTAAGATGTTCAAATTTATTAAAGATCCTAATTCTTTTAAAAAGCAATGGAGAATAAAGGTTAGTAATCAGGTTTCGGAAGCAGGAGAATTTTTTACAACCAAAACTGGGTGATAATATTAAAATGCTTCTTTTGGATGAATAGGTAAGTATTTTGTGTCTTTGAATTTGGCCTTTCATTAGGTAATCGAATGTTTGTTTTTGAAGATCTCTTAGTTCTAGCACTTTTACATATTTTGTTCAAGGGGGAGGATTCAAGCAACTCTTAGGGCTTTTTTGCATTTTAGGGATGCTTTTATTGAAGGAGTTTATACAATTTCAAATTTTGGTGTTTCTTTGAATGAAAATCCTTACAAGCCAACTACACGTAAATATAAGATTGTTTTTAATTCTAAGACTGCCCAGAGTTTGCTTAAGGATTCCAACATTTCTTATCATACATTTTCTGTCATTGAATTTGATAAGATTTTAAACAAACTCAAGAAAATGCTTTTTTAGTTGGTATATTTATTACAAAATAATTTCATTATAGTTTTATTTGTTTTAATTTATTTAATTTCATTATTAGTTTAATTTGATTTCTACATTAAATCATTTGCTCCTTTGCAAATGTTATTGGGTTGTTATTAGTGGTACTTGAGTAGAAGGAAGTGACAAAAAATGGTTCTCCATTGAGCATGATTTCATTTGAACTTGATGATCTAAGGTATTTTTCATTTGAATATTCTTATTTTTTTTATTAGTTTCCCATTATATTTCTTTCAATTTTTTTTTTCCTTCTTTCAAACAGTGGTAGTAAGCTTTATTGCACTCTTTGGGAAAATTTTGTTGTTGAAATGCATTTAATTGTTGACAAAAACCCCAATGAACCTATTATTTTTATCATTCAATTTGCAAAGATGAAATCATAGAGAGGTTTTACTCTTATTTTTTAATTTTCAATTTTAGTGTTTTCTTCAGATTTTATTTTTAAAGTTTTTACAAATTTTTTGGTGGTTTATTTAGGTGTGATAGGGATTTTCAACACCATGTTCAATACTAAGATCTTTATAAATAATTATGATATTTATGAAGTGTTGGCATTTAAGGAGAGGTAATGTTACTATTTTTAGTAGTTTTTTTCTATTATGTATCAACATTTTTATTTTTACTTAAGTTTAATGTTTGTAGGATTCCTACTGGTGAAAGGGTTCACATCAAAAAGTTAAACATAGTAGGCTCTGGCATGTTGTCATTTGATGATGAAGTTTTGCATTCTATCTTAAGAAAGAGTATTATGAAAATTAAAGAGTCTAGAGAAGTAATTCATACATTGTTTTCCTTATGTCTGTTTATAGGTATTATATTTTATTATTCTTTGTCTACTTATTGTGTTATACATTTCATTTGTAGGTTATGGCATGTTTGACTCTTATTGAGATTATTTTGAGGAATCTACACACAACTAGTTCTACAATTCTTGCTATAATTGTATAAACGGTGTTGAGCAAGACGTTGGAATAGTATTACAAAAAATGTGACAAGAGATGGTCAAGTCCTAGATTGAGGTTTGTGATTTGAAACTCAATAGAATATTTTTTTTTGATAAAAATAAAAAATATTAAATTTTGATTAAGTTATGTTTTTAATTGTTTGATATTAATTCCATTATTTTTTGTTACAAAGGTATTGCATTTGAGTTTGCATAGTTGATGGAACTGACGGTGCATCCCTCATTCTTTTTGATTTTGCTGTAATTGGATTTTTCAATACATTTGCCTTTAATTTACATGACATGTCCACCTAAAAAAGGTAACTTTCTTTGTCACCTTCAATATTTATTTTTATATGTATAATTTAATCTTTAGATATGATAGTTCTAATAATGTAATTAATTTTAATTATACAAGGGTGGTGATCCAGAAGCTTACCCTACTGAGCTTAATGCTCTGAAGAACAAGAAAATGATTTTTAGGTTGAGCATCAAACAAAATAATATTAATAGTTTTGAAGAAAGTAGTGTCTACAATGCTGGGAAGATTTTTTTTGATGCTAAGGTCATTGACAACTTTTTACAAACCACTAGACAGGTGTGTTTGCCTATATACATTACATTTTTATTCTTAAATTAAGTTCAAATCTTTTAAAATTTTTGTTTATAACTTAGTCATGTAGGAATCTTCTAAAATGCAAAACTTTTCATGTGACGAAAATGCAAGTATTTCAATGAAAGAACATGTTGATGGGGTGAGCTTATACCTTTCAATAAAAATTATATCAATTTTCTATTACCATAAGTTAGTATGATGCTTTATGGTTTCAGCACTTAATTTTTAATCTTAGTAACGTTTTGTGGTTGTAGGATGATATTTTCCACTCATGAGATAATACTAAAGATGCACCAAATGAAGGACATATCTCTCCAAAAAGGTCATTTACCGAGTTTGATCTAGATGAAGTTTATGATAGCCTACTTTAGTAGTCTACAACAAAGATCAAAAAGCTTCTAAAGACTGAGAAAGATTGATAACTATTTCTATGTGTTTGTTTGAACCAAATATCAAGCTATGTTTTCCTATGTAAACTATATATCCAAACTTTTTGAGTAAAATAAATGATGGAGATATTAAGTTTTTCCAAAAGTGCTCCATTTTGTCTCCAAAACTTAAGGATGTTGCTATGCTAAATAATCATTTGATGTCTAACATTAAAGTGTGGAAAAGAGCTACTTAAGTTCATATTCAGTATGCAAGGATGATTTGGAGGACAATACCAATCAGTAAACATATTTCATTGAAGTACTTAACACATTCACTACTTTAGGATTTCCAAATCATAAAGTAACTTTCAAAGTAGGCATCCAAACCATGCTTTTGAGAAACATTGATCAATCTAGTGGCTTATGCAATGGAACAAGGTTACTTATCACAGGACTTGGCAACCATGTTGTTGAAGAAAAGGTTCTATCTAGAAAGAGTCTAGGTTAGTCTATCCTTATACCTCAGATGGTAATGACTCCTTCTAACCATTCGCACCCAGTGAAATTTCAAAGAAGATAATTTCCTTTAGTTAAGTGTTTTGCTATGACAATCAATAAAAGTCAAGGGCAAACTCTTTCGCATGCTAGAATTTGCCTTCCAAGGCCTGTATTTAGCCATGGTTAGTTCTATGTTGCACTTTCAAGAGTAAAGAGTAAGTATGCATTGAAAATCCTAAGCTTGGATGTTCAAGGCAATTTCTTGAAATAGACAATTAATATTGTTTTTAAAGAGTATTTCATAGGTTGCACTGGGTAGTTACTTTTTGTAATCATTTTTTTCCTTTTTTTTATTCAATTTTTTTGAAAATTACTTATGGTGAATCTGTTTGTGAGGCTGTGTTGACAAACAGTGGCCTAGATTCATTTAAACCCCCAATAGCTCTTAAAGTCATGAGTCATGGACCTAAGGAATTTTTGACTCTTAACTAAAGATGCCATCTCAATCTAACTATTTTAAAGAAAACATCCACAAATTGAAGGAATTTTCTACACAAAGCTAAAGTCATAGATTTGATTTTGCAAATTTGTGCAATATTAATCTTTGCTTATGTTTTCCTACTCAGTTGTGTCTATTTATTTAATTTCCTGCAAAGGAGCAAGTTTCGAATCATAGCTTTGGATCTCATATTAAATGCTTTCTTTATTTTTTAAGCATAGATTATGTTGAAGGTTTTCATCTGGAATTAAACTTAGGTTGGTTGTTACCTAAGTTGCAACTTCTATCATGACAATCTCTAGCTGATGTAGAAGGAGTTAAAAAAGACAACATGATCAAGCTTTTAAAATCATATGGTGGATTGTCTTATGTAAGTTTGTCTCATCCTCCCATTTTCTTTTAATTTTTGGAAGTAGTTTATCTTTCTTTAATTTGTGTATCTATCATGGCAAATGATTTGACAATTAGTTGGGTATTAGATTCATATTTCTTCATCGTGATTTTTTGATTTCTTGAGATTGTTGCTCTTTTATTTCCATGTCCTTTCCCGTAGCATGTATTGAAGAATCCTCAAATCCATCTGAATAAGAGGATTGTATCAAATTGATGTAAAAATGAAGTTATTAATTCATCTTTTTAATGGTTCTTTGATCTTTAATTTATAGTTTCAGGAACTTAAAGATGCATAGATTCTATTCACTGATGAGTTTATATCTGCAATTTATAATTTGTGCAAGCTCTATTGGTGCTCATTTTGCATGGTTTTGGTCTATGCATACTGTTAAAAACAAATTTGTTAATTCCAATTTAACTAGAATGGGATGAAATTAAATGTTCCATTTTTTCATGAAAATATGAAATTGAAACACGTGCTTCCAGCATTGGCTCTCAGTAATGCGGCACCCTTCTTCTTGCCAGTTTTCATTGTTGTTATATTCTTTTGTAGCTGTTGTTTATCTTTTCAAATCTCATACATCTTTATCATCCTTTTTCACTTGAAATCGAATATGTTAATTCGAATGGTTTAGGTTTGTTTTCATTGAAAATATTGAAGATGTAATTCTCTATGCTGAGATGTTTGTGCCAACTGCCCTCGAATTTGAAGAAGCTAGATGAGTCATATAAGAGGAAATGATCCGTGCTTATAATCTATGGGATAACCCCATTAAATCCAATGAAATTCATGTCATGTTAGTTGGTAATGCCAAAGTGGTTGATGCTCAATCAAGGACCTAAAAGACGTGGTATTTATTTTATTTATTTATTTATTTTTTTTTTATTTTTTTTTTAAATTAGTTTTAGTGGAGCTTTCTTATAGCATATGCTGATTTTATTTCATAGAAACAAGCACATAGAGTATTGACCATGTATTGGGTTTGTAGGCTAGAGTAGCACAACAGAGGCCTAAATTATAGCTTTCAGGGCAAAACATCATTTGCTAAGATAATTGAGATTTTAAAAAGGTTCAATGTTCTTGGGTTTAGGCAGATGATGCCCACATAAATGGTTGTATCTGCGTATCACCTTTGTTTTAATTTATTAGAATCTAAATATACTTCTAAATGCATTTTAGTTGTGCCATTCTAATATTCAGTTCATAACAAAATTAGAGACAAAGGGACTCTTCAATAAAATTCAGTTCAT